CCATACAGGGAAATGTAAAGTTGGTAAGTGAGAGAGAAGCAATATTCTTTGAAAAGGTTAGCTTTTTACTTCTTTGCAGATTTATGCCCTGTGGCTTCTATGCCTAGCAATTGTCTTGAGGTATCTTTACCACTTGGAAGAATTATGATACTCGGTAATTTTCGATATGAGGCACGAATTCTACTAAAGGGCTGTAATTAGGAAGGAAGAAGAAAAGCTACAGAAGTAGCAGACGGAAGAAAACATGGGAAGATTGATTATTTCTTTGACATAACCTCTTGTAGAGTAACAAAAGCATGTATAGGTTTTAACAAATTACTAATTAAGTTGCATACACACATTAACAGAATAGGAATACAGCTACATAACAAAAGCAAACCTACAATTACCAGTCATATCCAGTGAAACCAAGAAAGGTTTTCATACTTTTTGTGTCTCTGATGTTACCTCCCTCACAGTGTTGGGCACAAAGGGGAAATTTATACAATTCTTAACAAATGGCTGACTTATAAACAAGTTTGCTGAAGTTTGCCATCGATGGATGGCATTTCAATTTGGTCAAAGTTGACACTAGGAAACAGAAAAGAATATACTCAGAGTTCTTAAAGACCACTTACTGTGAACTGTCTTCTATCTTCTGTCGGTAAACAGCTGCCAGACTTCCAATTTCTAAGGAGTAGCCACCTGATCCTGAAAAGAAAAATGAAGGTCTGCAAATAGAGCCACCAATTATATACAGCAGAGTTAATTATTCACCACTCAGGGATCAGAGTACTACCTCAAATCCATTCTGGTTTTGATTCAAAGCAAGCAATTTTCAGAAGCTAGCTGTTAATGGTGAATTCATGTGTCTTCAATTATTAGCAAGAAAACAAAACAAAGCATTGATTTGTTTTGTAAGCATTGCTTTGTAAGTCTGATGAATTTCTAAGATACGTCACAGACTAACCTTGGCAAACCAATTGATCTTCAAGGCTGACTAGGATCAGTTTCAGGCAGGGGGACATGCCATTCCCCGTGAAGTCTGCAACTCTTTATTTCTAACAACCACTCCACTTCAGGTAAGTGAGAAAACAGGCAGGGCCTCAAGAGCTGTTTTAAAACGCCAGTGCCTGGGTGGGGTGACAATAGCATGGTGACTGACGGGTTCCATGGATTTAGAAAAGGCAGTTACCTTGCTCTTCTCCATATGGGCTGCTGGGTTCTGAGTTCACGTTCCTCGGGATCCTCTCAGAAGCATGAGCTGTGTTAAAGGCACCATGTCGAGCCAGCCTCTGGTTTGCACAGAACTGAATATGGCCATATGTTTCCCTTTGCAATTCTGGTAAGACAGATGCAGTAACATCCACTAGTTCTTCATCTAAATAAATGAGAGAATTGGCAGTATTGTTATATAGCTTTTTAAGACATAGTTTTGAGAGCCTGTAATTGTAATGGAGCTAGTCTATAAATTAAAAACTAACACAATCAAAGGAATTTTATGAGCCTTGTCTCAAACCCCAGTTTTTTTGATGTACTTTTATTTTTTAAGAGTTAGTAGATGAATATAAAGTGAGACTGAATCCAATATTCTAAAATTACCTAAACTGCCAACAAAAGTAAAGCAAGATGCTCTTCACCCCAAATTAGAATGGACCTGACATTTCAGATGGTGTCTTTGGGCAGAGACATCAAAGGAAAACCCAGCCCTGCTCAGCCCAACATGCACGTTTAGAGATAATAACCTTAATTGAGATGGGCCTCTATGCCACAGCTCTAGGGCAATAAGTACAAGAATCTTTATTCTCTGTTATGCTTTATTATTTCTTTCTTATGCAGTAGGACGCCTAGTTACTAAGTGACCAAAAGAATAAGGTTAGCAGAAACCTCATGGTCACAATGCTGCAGAACAGTGAGGATAACAGAATGCTAGGTCTTCGAGGCCCATTTTATGCTTCAAGGAGCCTGTGTGAAATCAGGACAGAACTCCCTATATAGAACCAGGCCTATATTTCTATAGAAATAGTCCCTGTTGCTCAGTCATTTCTATCCTGTTCATCTGTGCTGTTTTTTAATTCTAAATTCAAAGCATGCACATTTTAATGATTAGCTAAATAAGCTGAAAGGCCCAGCTAGACTTAATGTTCTAAAACACACAAGAATTGAAAAAGTAAACCACCTTATGTTTTTTTTCTTGTAACAAAAATCCAGTAATGTTCTTTTTAGAAAATCAGAAATTACAGAACCAAAAATATAATGGGTCAAGACAGTAACACGGGTCATATTTACCTTCCTTCTTAAAACAAAATATTGGATAAAATATGTAAAATAATGGCTCTTGAGACATTGGACATCAGGACATGAAGGATAGTGACCCCTTAGAGACAAGAATCAAGTGAGGTGAGCTCTGTGGCAGCCCCAGCTTAGGGCCTGGAGAACATTTCCGTGTCCTGGGAGCAAGGGGCCCAGGCAGAGCCTGGAATCTTCCCAGGCTGAGCATGGGGCTGGGAGTCCAGTAAAGCCCAGGCAGCTAGAGTTTGAAGGGCAAAATACTGGAGAGGAGAGCCACACAGAACGCTGGCGAGCTGCAAAGGGCTCCCTTGTGTACTCAGTGGAGTACTCACACATGTGAGAAACCTACCTGAAGCCAGGATCAAAATGAGTATAAAGAGTCAAGTGTCTGCAGCTCATACAGGGCTGGGAATAGAATAGCATCATGGCCATGACAGCCAAGTGGAAAAATCTTGTAGTTCACGGGTTAATGGTTAGAATGGTTAAAAGGGTGTTTCCTCAGTGGTGGGGACAATGTACTCAGGACTAAAGGCTGGTAGAGTTCTACCTACCAGAGCTTACAAGCAAGACCCAACAAGATCATTGTTTCCAATAATTTCAGCATCTCGTAACAAAGCTGGAGAACGTTTTCAGGAATACAGAAATATTTAGCACCTAATAATAATACATAGTTCTCAGTGTCTGGCATACAACTAAAAATTACCAGGTACACAAAGAAGCAGGGAAATATAATACATAGTAAGGAGGAAAATCAATTCAAATGGGCTTAGAAGTGACACAGATGATACAATTAGTAGACAAGCACATTATTCCATAAATCAAGAAACTACAGGAAAGACTGAGCGTGGTAAGCAGAGACACTGAAAATATAAAGGCACAAATCGAACTCCTAGTGTGAAAAACTATAACTAATCGAACTCCCTAGTGTGAATGGGATTAATGGCAGCTAAGATGTTGCAGAAGAAAACAGTGAACTTGAAGACACAGTAACAGAAACCATCCAGAATGAGAGAGAACAGAGACTGAAAAGAAAACAAAACAGTGAACTGTGGGACATCTTCAAGCAGCCAAATGTAAGTGTAACTGGAATCACTAAAGGACAGGAGAGGACGGGACAGAAAAAAGTATTCAAAGAAATAACGACTGATAGTTTTCACTTGGTGAAAACTTTAAATCCATAGATCCAAGACACTCAACCAACTCAAGTACAAGAAACATGAAAAAAAGTATGCCAAGGCACATGTACTAATCAAATCACTTCAAACTGGTCATAAAGAAAACCTTCAAACCAGAGAAAAAAGACACGCTGCATATGGAAGAACAGCAAATGGTAGATTTCTTGTCAGAACAATGCAAATTAGAAGACAGTGAAGCCACAGTGGATCAAGTGCTGGAAAAAAAAACAAAACAAAAACCTTTAAAAAGAATCCTTTATGCAGAGAAAATATCTTTCAAAAACAAAGGAGAGAGGTAGTCAAAAGACGCAAACTTCAGTCACAAGAGAAGTACCCGGGATGTGAGGTACAGCATGCTGATGTGGCTAATGCCGCCGTGTGGCCTATGGGGAAGTTGAGAGTGAATCCTGAGAGTTCTCATCATAAGGAAATGTTTCTTTTTTTGCTCTTTTATTATCTCTTTATGAGAGGAGGGATGCTGACTAAACTTACTGCAGTTATCATTTCACGATGAAAGTCAAACCACTACGCTGTGTACCTTAAACTTACACAGTGATGTATATCAGTATCTCAAACCTGGGGGAAAAAAAGGCAAAATACAGATGTTTTCAGACATAAAACAGCTGGAGGATTCACCGCTAGCAGACCTGCACTACAAGAAATGCTAAAGTTCACCAAGCACAGGAAAATGATGTTAGATGGGAACTTGGACCTACAAAAAGGAACGACAGGCACCAGAAACGGTGACTATCTGGGTAAATATCAATCCTTTGCACTACTAATATCTCCTTAAAAGGCAATCAACTGTTTAAAGCAAAAACAGTAACAGTGCATGGTGGAATTCATAACACAGAGAGCAATAAATGTTTGTTAGCAACAGAATAAAGGCCAGGCAGGAAGAAATGAAAGTGTGCAACTGTAAGGTTTTTATACAAGTAGTATAATAACATTTTGAGGTAGCTTGTGATAAATTATAAGATGCATGCTGTAAACTCCAGAGGAGCCATCAAAATAACACAACACAGAGCTATAGCTAATAAGTCAATAAAGGGAGCATAAAAGCCAAAGTGGGAGCATAAAAAATAGTTAATAAACTCAAAAAGAAGAGAGAAAAAGTAAAAAGAAACTCTGAGCAGATGGGAAAAATGGAAAATAGTGAGATAGACCAAAATTCAAATATGTCAGTAATCACATTAAAGTAAATGGTCTAAACAACCCAATTAAAAAGCAGAAATTGTCAGATTAGACTAAAAAGACTATCCACAGTGGAATACTCCTAAGCAATAAGCAGGAATAAACTATCTACATGATTCATCTCAAAATAATTATGCTGAGTGAAAGAAGCCTGATTTAAAGAGTATGCACACTACAGATGGATCTTGCTGTTTGCGGCAGTTAGTTCCATAAAGTCACTGTGAACACTGAATCAGCAAATAGGAGCCTCTGTCCTAGAGGAAATGAAGTCTAGGCTCCTGCAATCCTACGGGTACAACATTCTGGTCAACTGATGAATAACCCTGTTTCATGTGTGTTTCTGTTTAAGGACACCTTATTTTATACTGTTGATCCACTACTGCTGAATTCATAGCCAAGAGCACCAGAACTGACACCTAAATGAAACTCCTCTAATATATGTACTTTCTCTGTAAGGCATATCCTGCCTTCTTGTACTTAAGGTCCTAGACAGCACTTCAGTGTGACATTTGAGAACCATTTTAAAGAGCAAAATCACCAACCCAAAGCACAAAAATGTGAAAACATGGCATTAAAAAGACCACGAAAAGGACATCTGGTTATAGCATGAGATTCAGAAGGAAAGTGTGAGACACAAGAAGGTAGAGTCGCCATGCTCAGCCTCAGCTGGGAACAGGGGTGTTGGCAACTCAGTTTCTGCCACTCTTTCCATGTCTGAATAACTGAGAAAATGCTCAGTATTGATTCTGGTTACAAAAAATTTTAGTGAGTAGATAAATTTGCAAATATGGAATCTGTGAGTAATGAGCAAAGACTGTGTTATTCACATATAAAAAGTTATAGAAAATACAAATGCAGAGAGAAAGCAAGCAGATCGGTGGTTGCTCTGGGGATGGGGGGAAGCGGGTAAGAACTACAAGGGGCCAGGAGGAGACTGGAGAGTGATGGGTCCAGTATCTTGAGGGTGGTGATTTTTCACAGGGGCATACAAAGCAGCACTTGCCAAACTGTAACTATAACCACTTGCCACTTATTGTATGTCATGATACCTCCTCAGTAAGGCTGTTAAAAGGAAGAAAAGGCTGGTGGTGGGAAGACAGAAGGGTGAAGAGACCTTTATAGGGTCTAACAGTGAGGAAATGCTAACCAAGGAGTGAAGACTGGATGAAGGAATCAAAGGTAATGTGACATTCCAGACTTGACGGGCTGATAATGATGGTATGGTCAGTAATGGAATGAAGGAATGCAGAAGAGGTGCAGGTGTCTGAAGGGTAGAGAAGTATATCCGCTCGGAGGTTCCTGACCTGGTTCCAGGCCCTCTTTTCCCTTATCAGATCAGTTTTCCCAGTTGCTGTCCACTGGCTATGGAAATCCATGAATTCCCTGACTTCTCAACACCAGCTCATTTCCCATTATCTTATCTTCGGCAATGATACTATCATCTTTGTGATCCTCTTCTTTTTTAATCTATCTCAAGATCCCTGGTCTCTTATGCCTGCTACATCTAGTATAAATTTCTTGGCTTAACCTTTGAGACCTTCTGAAATGTGGTACCAATTGATTACATTTTCTCATTATTCACTACCCTGTGCTGTCCACCCAAATCAGGGTGGCTGGTCTCGCCAGTACAAACCAGCTTGTTCATAGGTGTCTGTTCCTTCAACTAAAAACTCTCTGTCCCTCTAAAACCTGGGTCCAGCAGAACCGAACCCATGTCTTCTCTGAATGCCTACAGAGCCAGTACTATCATGTGCAGTGCCTAATCGTTGTCTAATTTTCAAGTGTGCTAATTATACACCTTTATAGAAGCTCATTAATTAGCTAACATAAGGCAATGCTCCAGGCTAGCAGTAACCATGGATGAATAAGGACAGAGTCTGGCCTCAAATGTGGAGAACAGAGGTAATGGCACAATGGCACCACCACCAGGGCCAGAGCACAACACCAAGTCGTAATGGTTGGATGAGATGTTCTGCTTTGGGGGGTCAGGGAGCACGTCACAGAGGGGTTGGATGTGAGCCAGATCTTGAAGGCTGAGTAGAATACTTTCATGCTGCAGAGGAGAGGGCTTCCCAGGTGAAAAGTCAAGAAGCCAAAGGCAGAGGAGTGTAAAATGGCAAAGTGACGTACTTCATGTAGGCAGGGACTGTGTCATTCGCACCTTTAATTCTCCCGTGCCATTAATACAGTAACTGCCAACAGCCCACATGCAGTAAATACTGGCTGAGCTGAATTAGTTATACCTGATTTTAAGAGGTTTCATCTAGATCCAGAGTGAACAGTGTGTTACAAGTGAGGTAGAGCGCTGTATCCTCTATAAGCCTGGGTTAAGTGGTAGGGATTTATACCACCAACACCAAAATTGGAAGGGTAATTTAAAAATAGCGTTAATGGCTCTTTTCCAGGCAGCACAGCCATATGTAAGGCAGCGAGTGCGGCAGGATTCAGTCCCCAATTGCTCAAATATTACCTGTGAAGTAAGTAGAAGATAATATCCTCTTTCACTCGAGCAAAAATTATGACATTCCTAACCTTTTAAATAAATTACAAAAGAGGTGTTCATTACATCAATTCTATATTTAGAAGCCATCTTACCACATATTAGTTTTGTGATAGTAACTGATGTCATTTTTATATTATCTGGAATTTCAGAGAAAAATAATGCTTTATTCTGCTAATGCAGAAGCAACCAGAGTCCGTAAGTGTTTAATCCTTGAGCATAATTTATTCTAAACTTCAGGAATGTTGGAATAAAATATATGCTGAAGAGATGTAATTTAAGAGTCACAGAAACTCCTACAGTATAAGCTCTCAGGATTTCCCTTTCTGCTGTGTGTGTGAGCTGACCGTGCGTGGGCTGATGTTTGTTGCTCCAGGAGTGACGTCACTAAGTCTAATTTTGAATTGAATGTCACGTGGGTTATGGGAAACAAAGATCAATTTCACTGTGTAGTAGATGTATGATTTGGAAAAGGAATCAGAGACTATAAATAAAATCAGTCCCTAGCAAAACCACACAGCCTCACCTGTGGAGCTGAAGTCAACAGGCCCGATCCATTTGAAGGCTGGTTTCCGGCCCCGCTCTTCTGTGACGTGCACCTTCTTTATCAGAGCCAAGCTGGTCAGAACATTGGCTATGTCGTAGAGGCGTCGTACCTTCGCTTGAATATGTAAAGCACAGTTATGGTTACGCTGTCTGTGACACCAGATTTTAGTTTATGTGACAGGTCACTTTTCTCAGCCACCTATATATAAATGCCACGTGGAGAGCACTGGGGTGGGATGAAGATGCCAGCAGCTCTGTCATGAAACCTCCTGGGATTTGTGAATCTGATCTGACTAAAGACACATACTAAAGGAAGGTTAGCATGTCCTTCCATTTCCACAACTTCACCTTCCACAAGAGGCACCTGGTGTGACAGGCAGGCAGCAGGGTGCACTGTGATGGCAGGACCACCCGGGGAGGAAAACAGGCTGTAATCAGAGGCCTTGTAAATGCAATTCTGCTATGTGGCATTTCAAAAGCTGGCCCTGAGTTTCTCCCAGCAGGCGGAGGTGGCCGTAGCCCCATCAGGTAGATGGTTCATGAAAATGACAGGGATTCCCCAGAGCCCCTGTGAGGCTGCACTCATGGGCGCGTGAGTGTCTGGGTCTCAAGGTTATGAGGTACAGCTGTGCTAGACAGGCAGCTTCTCAGTGGGCAGGGGTGGGATGGGCACTCCCTGAGTCCTGCATGGCTTAGAAAATGCAGCTACTGGCGGGGAAATGCAGAAGGGGTGGTAAGACAGTCCACCGGCAGGACTACACCCACAAAGTAGTATCTAGTCAAGATACTGATTTACAGGCAGTAAACCCAGCCAGCTTGGGAGCTAAGATCAAGCAAAGGAGCTTTGATTATCGCCCAGAAATGTCAAGCATTCACCCCTGCTACCACTTCCTTCCCAGTCCTCACAGAGCTGGATTTTATCCAGTCATTTGTCCTCCAGGGTGGCTGTATTTCCAGGTGGAAACAGAAAAAGCTGGAGGATGCTGAGCTCATGGCTTCCCAGGGCTCCTGGCAGTGGGGGGCACTGGCTCAGGACTCAGGCTTGGGCTAAAAGGAAGGTGCAGTGGGTATGACCCTCAGAAGCTCTCCTTGTCCAGCAACCACATCCCACCAGCCCCACCTACCCTGACAGAACCATTCGTCTGGTTCTTCCCTGTGGACAACTTTCATCTCCATTTATCAGAGGAGTATGCAAGGAGCGAGGAAAAACAGGGAAAGAAAACTCAGACATTCCGTCTTGGACGAAGCTACTAAATAGATACTAAAGAGAAATGCAAAGTATCTTATACCCTCCCTGACCTGCACTTGTGGGATGGCATTCTGTTTCCACCGTCCATGCATGCTCAGGGACAGGCATCTGACTGCACTTTACTGGGAATTCCAGTATGTGTCTAACTCACCTCTCAGAGCACCAACAATCATGTGAGTGCAGGAAGGGGCGCACTTCTCAAAAACCAGGATTCTTTTAATCTCAGAGGCAGGAAATATCAACACATGATATGCCACCCTTTTCCATCAGTAAGTGGATTTAGGTAAAGGTGCTTACTTTTAAATTTACTGTGGTCCGGGGTATCTGGGCGTTGTTCTATCAGTATCCTGGCAGCCACATCCAGAGTGACGACCTTGGTTTTGGAGACGAGGAAGAGCATGACAAACTTCTGGCTCATGATTCTCAGAGACTTGTCTTTTCTGCTGTTTGCAGATGCTACAGAGAATGAAACAAAAGCACCAAAACACACAATTTACCACAAGAAAGACATCCTTAGAGTTTGCCAGAACTATTTAACTGCGCGAGCAGACGGAAAGATCACTCTGGTGACAGGCAGAAGCCTACCGGACACACATCACAAGAAGATGGCTTGGAGAGAAATAAAACAGATTTTCTTGTGGGGTATAAATTTACAGTAGGTAAAACTCTGACATGTGCATTTTAAGCTACTTTTAATGCTTTATATTCATACTTCATAGAACAGAATCCATGAGGAGAGATGGTTTTCATGAAGCAACTTTTAAAGAGATGAATGTAGGATAAATGATAGGGTGGGATCAGAGATTGTTTCCAAAACATCGATTTTTCTCTCAAAGGCAAGGATTCCGTTTTTATTTCTCTGTGCCCACAATATACAGAATATACCCTTAACATAGTGGGCACCCACCTCTTCATCGCTGTTCAGAAATAGGTGGAGAAATAAACTATAAATATATAGGAGACACTGATCAGATGTGCGCCGTCAGATGGCAGGCACATCATCCCTGACAGATGGCTGTCTCCCTTGGATATGAGGATGAGAACTGGCTCACGCGGTGGAGCTAACAGGCACAAGGCAGTGAATCTAATGAAAATCAGGCCCACCTTTCTGTTTCTGTTTTTTATATTTGCAAGTAAAATATGAGTGGTACTTGCACTTAATCATTCAAGCAACAGGAAGTGAGGGGATAATGATGATCCTTGGTTAAAACAGGAAGAGGTTAAATATGAGTAGGGAGGGGAAGAAAACGGAGATAAACTGAAAAAAAAAAAAAACTGCACTAAATGAAAGCAGGGGTTGTCTCTCCATCTTATCAACATTTTCTGCTAACAGGGTTCTTTTCTAAGTAATCTACTCCAAAACATAATTTTAAGGATTTAATCCTTTGAAAAGATAGCTTCTTTCCTTAGAGGCTCACAAATGGAAGCCAGCATGGAGCTGTCAATCTGAAATGGGAGTGCTGTCAGTGATCGTCAGTCCAGACACACCAGACACCAGGTGGACAACCACTAGACCGCCTTTGAGTGAGGCTGAGTGGGAAGCCCAGTTGGGCAGCCATCTGTCTCCCTTCCTTCGGTAGAGAGAGTAAGGGGACGTGTCCCTCCAGGGTTGCCAGTCCGGCACTTGCCATCCCAGCAGTGAACCTCTTCAGGGGAAACCACGGCTCTTTCTGCCTTTGCTCACATGGTCACAACGGACTCACAGGAAGGGCAGTCGGGCTCGGAGAAATCCAGTAACTGTTGATCTTGGGCATCTGGAGAGCCATCTTTTCTCCGTTCCCCAAATTTATACTCCATGACACCCAGCTCTTTCTGTTGGAGGTGAGCCATCTGTTCTCCGTATTTCTGCTCCTCTCCCAGCCTCTGGAGGGCCCTCAGGGTCTTCGGCAGGCTATGCCATCCATGCCAGCCATACTGATTCTTGGCCACCCGGCTGACCAAATGCAGTGACTCCAGCACATTTACGATGTCGTAGATGCGTCTTCTTTCAACACCTGCTCGAAAAGCAGAAGCCAGCCATCATTATTTTTGCATTTATCATATCCTTCATGATATGTCATAACATATCAAGCATTTCTGAATATAAACCCCTTGAGGGCCTGGACTGTGTCTGTGAACTACTTTGCCTGATGTCCAGTGTAATTAATGCCCAGGAAGCTGGATGCTCAGACCACAAACGAATAAGAACACAAGCAACAGAAATTAATGTGTTTTTTGAAATCCAACCCTCAGCAAGGTCAAGGATAAAACACCCACCTAGAGATGCATGACAGTTCCATCTCTATCACATGAACACTAGTATGTCTTTCCTTTGGACCTGTTAGGTAAACTGCACCAGCATTGCAGCACGTGAAAACAGGCAGGTGGCTGATGTCTAAGAGGCGCCTGATGGACACTGGGTGGTCCACCCTGACTTGTCTTTCTAATTATGCAGACTATAAAATACCCATAATGGATAGCTTGTTTGGACAATACTCTTTTCCTGGAGTTTTAAAAATGACATGAAGGAGTTACCTTGTTAACTCTTAATGACTCAGTAAGGAAAACATAAGTATTTTGTTTCCTATTTTCCACTGGAAACTCACAAGCCAAGAGCTTGGGCATCTCAGGTTCTGAAGGAAGCTACAGCCAGGCATGGAACATCTGAGTCTCCTTTCGCTCGTCACAGCTATTAACCACTCTGTGCTCCCATTTACTGTATTCTGCCAAACAGCCCAATGGTGAAGCATGGAAAGCCTTCATGTGTAACACAGGCTGGCCATGATGTTCATCAGCTCCCCATGCACTTTCCCAACACTCCCCCGATAGCTAGGGTTATGAGCTATCAAATTTACCAAAAATATTTACAGTGGTTAAGTGTGGGGGCTTCGGGTTCAGACTGCTTGGATTTGAATCCCTGTTCTATGTCTTACTACACGAGTGATCCTTGGAAGTTACTTAACATTTCTGTCCTGAGTATTTATCTCCTAAAATGATAAGGATTAAATGTGACCACAAACATAAAAGGTCTCCAGCAGGTGTTAGTTTTGTCTACTGTTTATGTATTATTTTGTAAATATTTTCTGCCCATCACTGGAGAACCTGAAATCTCTATTAGCATGAGAGGTTACAGTAAAAACAGATCTTAAAAATATCTTGTGATTCATCTTGTTGTGTAGGAGGCTTTTGGGAGCGACTGGCCCCCTCTGCTCTCTTCTTTGTATCCATAACAAAAGCCTCCAGGCATCTCCCAGAAAACTGGTCCAGCTACAAACATGCCCTCTTCTGCTCACTTGCCAGAAGCTGTTTCATAAGCAGGGCAGACTCACTGAATGTAGCTTTGGGCACTTCAAAGGCTTAACACAAGAAACAGAGCAAATTACAATGAGAACTTTGGAGCTGAGAGGAACTCCTATCACATGCATGGAAAGATGTTTCACAGTCAATCAGAACATTTCAGCTCACGGCCCTAAAAGGCTCTTCAGCCTCAGAAGCTCAGGATTCACTGCCAGATGCTTGATGGAAGGTGCTGGCAGCGTCCCTTTTCCAGATCCGCCCGCTTCTTTATTCCAGTCTGTTTTCATATATTAATACATTTTTGTTAAGAGTATAATATTCCATAAACCTTCCCATTAGAAATGTCATGTGAACACAACCGAGATACCCCAGGGCCAGCCATATGCCCCACTGTTTTGTTACTTCGTATTAGATACAAGCTGTTAAGCACTATCTAGTGGCTAGACATCCCAGGAAGGGAAAACAAAGGAGATTCTGACCACTTGGAGAATAAGACAGTGCTTAATATGCACAATGGTGGTTAGTAGGCAATGCTGGCAAAAGCCAGGTTGGCAGTTGCTTGCATGGATAATCACGTACCTTTTCAATCTGGACAGAGCTTACCTGTCCACTGGCTGGTGCACTAAAATGTCCCATTTCACATTTCAAGATCTGCAGGTCACTCTGGGATTTACTCTGCCAGGGAAGGTTCTCCCTGGCACTCAGCCTTCTTTTTCTTTTGTATCAAGGCACTCCTATTAATACTGTCATGGTGTTGGTTATGTCCACAAGGGTGTATTAACTGTTGCCCTGCTTCCCTCAGTTCCTGATGGACTGAAGTGTATCTTAGCCCAGCAAAATAGTTCCTTAGGCTGTGCTGTTTCCCATTTACTAAGGTTACTCCCAGTTCTTTAACCTCTTACCTATAGCATCTATGTTAACTATGCATGGGATCAGAGTCTGAGAAACAATCTGTGATTTGAATGCTCTGCATATTCTTGGTTAAAATATGGCCTTACAGCTCGTGAGCAGGGATGTAGCAGGGAGTTTAGACGCAGCCTCAAAGTATGGTCACCACTGAAATAGCTCCTGGGGAGGACTTCCATTTTTAGACCTCACACGAGGAGAGATGGCAAGTTCATTTTGCTGATCTGAGTGATCATGAGGCATTAGGAAGCTACTGCAAAAAATCTCTGGAGTTCTGCTGCAAGCAGTCATAACATGGGGATCTGCAGAGTGATCTGCAGCTCATGAGTAGGAATCCACTTCTCCATTCTCCCTGGATCCTGTAACATAGCCTTGCAATACCTCATCTTTTGTTCTCTGCATTGACACTGGTGCAAGGCCCCTTGATGGAAGCTGTGTATAGAGGAAGCTGGCTTCATGAACTCCAGCTCTATGATCTGCTGTTCTAACCCTCATTCTGTAAGACTAGTTGACAGGACCCTGTGCCTCAAGTTGGTCTACACTGAGTCATGACCCAGCTGGTTCACTTTCCCCTTTTTGTTTCACTGCCACTGATGATGATACTGTGTTTTACTTCTGGGTTCCAAAACGGATCCCCAGTCAAACATTCCACTTCTTCCTCCTAGCTACAGAGGCTCTCAGGACAGCTTGGGGAAGGTGGACAGACATCCAGTAAGAGCTAGGTAGAAACTGTTCCACAAACAGTGAGAATTACCCATGCCAAGCCCTGAGTTAGGCATATTACTGACATTATCCTCAGCTTGGCTAAGTTTCTGCAAGGTAGCTCTATTGTCCCTGTTATAGACAAGAAAATACTAACTTTTTAAAGCTCTCTCTCATAGCCTATAGAATGAAGACCTGGGTTTCAAATCTAGCCCTATTGGACCCAAAACCAGTCCTTGGACTTATCACAGCCCATTGCCTCCTTACTATTTCAGTTCCCAGCAACTAAAATTTTTCTAGCCATCAGTTTGAATAATTCAGACTGACAGTCACTTTACTGGAGCACATTTCTCTGGGCTATGTAAAGAAATAGAACTAATCAATAAAATACCTAGGAATAAACCTAACCAATGAAGTGAAAGACCTATACCTTGAAAACTACAAGACACTTTAATTAAGAGAAATTAAAGAAGACACTAACAAATAGAAACTCACCCCATGCTCTTGGCTAGGAAGAATTAATATCGTCAAAATGCCATCCTGCCCAAAGCAATCTATAGATTCAATGCAATCCCTATCAAATTACCAGCAGCATTCTTCAATGAACTGGAACAAATAGTTCAAAAATTCATATGGAACCACCAAAGACCTTGAATAG